AGGGGACGACAGAGGATGAGATGGTTGGATGGCATCACCGACTCAATGGACATGAGTTTGGGTAAACTTTGGGAGTTGGTGATGGACAGGGAGGCCTGGTGTGCTGCAGTCCATGGGGTTGCAAAGAGTCAGACACGACTGAGCAACTGAACTGAACTGATGGCTGATTCATGTTGATGTTTGGCAGAAACCAACACAATATTGTAAAGCCATTATCCTTCATTTAAAAATAAATTAATTTTTTTCTTAAAAAAAAAAAAGCCTTTTTGACCACAGTATGGATATCCAATTAAAAGGAGGCAAAAATGTTACCAGAAACCATCCAGTAGAAGGTCGTCCAGTTGTCCTGGAAGAGGAGGTGGAGGTGGGCATCGATGAGGGTTGTGGAAGTGGAAAAGAGTAGATGGATTCCAGAGAAATGTCTGGAAGAGGACTGATTGGACCAGGTGATTGGCTGATACGTGGAGGGCAAGGGAGGGAGTTTCCCGGATGTCAGGAGGACGCCCAGGCTTCTGGCTGAGCAGACTCGGAGCATGGCTGTCAATGACAGCTGAGACCCAACTGGCTTCTCTGGCAGCCAGGCCCACTGCTTGCAGTCGAGAAAACCTACGCGCACGTGCTGCTAGGGCCCAGCCACCTGCCCCTCAGAGAGAAAGCCCCTGCACCGCCTGCCTCCCCCAGCTAGCCCCACCCACGCGTCAGCCCTCCGAGGAGCAGGCATCAAAGCGGAGCGCACGCCGGGCTTGCCTGCTTCACCGTGACACCTCCGAGGGCTGTGCCTCTCTCTTCCCCAGCTGCCCATCTCAGAAGAGGGAGCTGGCACTCGCAGTCAGGCGTGGCTGCTGACAGCACGGCGGCCAGTTCTGGGGCCGCAAGGGCGGGCCCTCTGCAACCGGCAGCCCTGGCTGTGGCTGAGAAGGGGAGACGCTTAAGGCAGTTGGCCTGGCAGCCCTGGCGTGGCAGGAGCAGGCCGATCAGCAAGAATGACCACTTTTGGAATTAGATGGGGCTGATGATTGTGCAGTTTTGTGAACCTACTGCACTCTGCACTCTTAAAGGATAAGTCTTATGGTATTGGAGTTACATTGCAATACAGCTCTTCCTTGACTTGCAAGGGGGTTATGTCCTGATAAAATCTACTCTAAGTTGAAAATATCAAGTCAAGAATGCTCTGGCTACCAGACCTCCCAGAGATCATGTCTTAGCCCAGCCCTACCTCAACTGCACTGAGAATACTTGCATCAGGCCACAGTTGGACATCATCTACCCCAAAGCCTGCTTTGTCATAGTGTTGAATCTCGCATGTAATTGATTGAACGCGGTACTCCAAGTGAAAACAGAATGGTTGTCCGTGTCCCACCCTTGTGACTGCACAGCCAAGTAGGAGCTGCCCCTGCCCAGCGTCACAGGGGAATATGTATCTTGCATCGCTGGGCCAGGAAAAGGTCAAAATTCAAAGTATGGTTTTTACTAAATTCTTCTCACTTTCGCACCATCATCGGTAAAGTCATAAAACCTAAGCTGACCTGTCGTTAAGATGGGAACCGTTTGTATGAAGTGAATAAATAGGTGAAGAGAGAAATGTTCGGACTTCTCTGATGGTCCAGGGGTTAAGACTCCAAGCTACCACTGCGGAGGGCATGGGTTCGATCCCCAGTTGGGGAAGTTCTGCATGCTCGTAGCGTGGCCAAAAAAAGAGATTGCGAGAGAGAGAAAGAGAAATAGTAAAGGGAGGTAACTGCTATAAACAGGAGCACCAGGTCCCAGGTTGATGATAAACAAGAGGAGCCAAGTAACATCTTCAAAGGCTTTGGTTCCCCTTCGTGGTTTCCTGCTTGGGGATGTTCTCAGCCCAGCGCTCTTCCCTAGTAATTAACTTCAGGCCATTCTGGTTCTTGGCTGTGCTGGGAGTAGGGCAGGAAGGGGAGGGCACTGCCTTCTCTCTTCGGGGGGCCTTTCCCTCCCCCTGTGGGCCCAGGAAGGGAGGACGTTGGGGTGCTCCCCAGGACTCTGGAAAAATGCACTCTCCCTCTGCAGTTTGGGGTGTCTCTGTCACCCCAGCCTCTCTCCTTGCCCTCTCTCTGCCTCTCTCACCCCTCTGACCCCATCCAGATGCCAGAACCCGGGCCTTGCACCCTCTCTCATCCCTTTCGCCTGTCCGTTCTGCTCAGGTTATAAGGAAAGAGGTAAATACTTGGCATCACCGATGCAACGGACGTGAACTTGGGCAAACTCCAGGAGATGGTGAGGGACAGTGAGGCCTGGCGGGCTGCAGTCCACAGGGTCGTAAAGAGTCGGTGCGACTGGGTAACTGAACAGCTACTTGGCCTGAGTCTCAGCGTTTGGACCCGGGAGCCTCCGCCAGAAGGACTAGGGCGCCCTCCTGTGGCCATTGGCAGCATTGCTTGTTCCCACTCTGGCCCTGAATTTTTTTTCTAGAGGGAATTTTAACGTTGAATTCTGGTAGTTCAGTTGAGTTCAGTCACTCAGTCGTGTCCGACTCTTTGTGGCCCCATGGACTGCAGCACGCCAGGCCTCCCTGTCCACCACCAACTCCCGGAGTTTACTCAATCTCATGTCCATTGAGTCAGTGATGCCATCCAACCATCTCATCCTCTGTCGTCCCCTTCTCCTCCTGCCTTCAATCTTTCCCAGCATCAGGGTCTTCTGGTAGAGGAGGTAGCTTTTTTCTTCCCCAAGAGATACATGAGAAACAATTAAGGTCCTAAGATGTAGATGAGAAGAAGAAAAGATTAGTTGGATAGATAATAAACTAAGAAATAAAATGCAGGTGTTTATATCCTGTGAAAGAAAGTGAAGTTGCTCAGTCGTGTCCAACTCTGTGACCCCATGGACTGTAGCCTGCCAGGCTCCTCCGTTCAATATCCTGTATCTTTATTTTAAAAGAGGTGGTGAGACCTAGTAGGAAGCAAGTCCTACTTCACGACATGAAGAGCAAATTTAGCAGCTGTGCGACCTTATTAAGCTGACTTCTCTGAGACTTAGTCTCTTTACCTGTAAAATGGAATAATCACAACACCTGTCTCATAGGATTGTTGTGGGATAAAATTTAATTGTTGTTGTTCAGTCACTCATTCATGTCCGACTCTTTACGACCCCATGGACTGCAGCACACCAGGCTTCCCTGTCTGTCACTATCTCCTGAAGTTTGCTCAAACTCATGTCCGTCGAGTTGGTGATGGCATCCAACTATCTCATCCTCTGTCATCCCTTCTCCTGCCTTCAATCTTTCCAGCATCAGAATCTTTTCCAATGAGCCAGCTCTTCGCATCAGGTGGCCAAAGTATTGGAGTTTCAGCTTCAGCATCAGTCCTTTCAATGAATATTCAGGGTTGATTTCCTTTAGGAATAACTGGTTTGATCTCCCTGCTGTCCAAGGGACTCTCAAAATTTAATTAACATAAGTTAAATACCTTGTAACTCAGGGCTTCCCTCGTAGCTCAGTTGTCAAAGAATGTGCCTGCCATGCAGGAGACCCAGGTTTGATTCCTGGTTTGGGAAGATCCCTTGGAGAAGGAAATGGCAACCCACTCCAGTATTCTTGCCTGGAAGGTCCCATGGACAGAGGAGCCTAGCAGGCTAATAATGTCCATGGGGTCTCAGAGAGTCAGATATAACTTAGCAACTAAACCACCACAGGTCCATCCAAATACCTTGTTCGGTGCCTGCGATGAATTAAGGACTCAGTAAATACTGCCTATTTCTATTGATATCATTATAACACCTGGAGACTAAATGTAGGAACCATTTCTCTCTTCGGGGAGACCTGAAGCCAGGCCAGCTGCCTTGCACAATCCCAGGGGCACCGTCCACGTCATAGTCTCTCTAAAGCCCCTTCCCCAAAGGTGAGCAATGCCTGCGTCTCTGGAGCTGATCCAGTCACCAGTCTGGGGACTCTGACCCAGTGAGGTGGAGGGAGAATTTGAAAAATCCATGAGACAGCAAAATAAGTTGGTTTTTTTGGTGGTTGTTTGCTTGTTTGTTTAAGGAAAGATAGGGCCCAGTCAGAAACAGATTGGGGAGGGGGATAGGAATTCCCTGACCGTCTGGTGGTTAGGACTTTACACTTCTACTACAGGGGACACGGGTTCGATCCCTGGTCAGGAAACTAAGATTCGCACATGCCGCATGGCTGGAAAAAAAAAGAAAAGAAACAGGTTGGGGGCCCGGCTGCCAGTCAGTAGATAAGCTTGGCACCCTGCCTGGCACAAGGATGGAGCCCGGCAAGTGCTCATTTCCTTCCCTTTCTGTCCTGTCTCCAAGGAGGCCCTGGGCAGAGTATGAACGCGGCTTCGCTCCGCGCCCTCTAGTGGTTACGTGGTATTCTTCCTGCGCGAAGCCGGAGCGGTCACCCTGTGGGCGTGGTCAGCGTGGAGGAGCAGCGGCGGCGGCGCCCCTGGAGGGGGCGTGTCCCTTGACCCCCTCAAGGGCAGACCCCAGGCTGTACCTCCGGCCCTCGGTGTCGCCTGTGTCCCAGGATGGAGGTGCCTGCGGCCCGTCTGGCCCTTGGTCGCCTATTAAATCTCGGGGCCACTTGCCAAGACCCTTTAAACCTCTTGGCTGTTCTTTTTGCCTCTTCTGATCAGCTGTATTTATTCTGAACCAAATGGTCCTCGCTGCAGGATGAAAGGATTTACTGCTGAAGGATATGAAAAGAAATCTTGGCGGCATTACAGTGGCACCCCCCCTCCTTGCCACCCCCCTCCACGCAGCCCATGTTCCATCCACTCGCTGGTGCCACAGAGACTGAAGTGGGAGCTTGCCCCCCCCCACCCCAGTTCAGTTTGGTGGCAGAGCCCAGTTAATGGGGAAGTGCGGTGACAGGGAGCAGCTTGTCTGGGGGAGCCGTCTCTCCAGTGTATTGCTGTCCCAAGGGAGATTGGAGCCCCAGGAAGGGCTCACCCCAACACCCCTCCATCACACGCACGCGCGCACACACGCACGCACTCTCATATTCTCTTTCTCACTCTGACCCTCAGGATCGTGCTCATGGACGATGCCATGGACTGCTTGATGTCTTTCTCAGACTTCCTTTTTGCCTTCCAGATCCAGTTTTACTACTCAGGTGAGAGTCTTCCGGGCCCCAGTGGCTCCTGTCGGGACCTCACTCCCCGTCCGGCCCTGGGCCCTGCCGTCTGCGTGTCTGGCCCGCACGTTTCTGCGCCTCCTCCCTGCGTGGCGGGCTTCCCCGCGGGCCGCCCCGCAGGATGTCCCGTTGTCGCCGGTGGTCACACGACTCGGCCCGCAGGGCCGACTCGCTCGCTCAGCCTCCTCATGGCTCAGAAAACCACGGCGCTTCCCGCCAGCAGGGGGACACATCAGTTTAAGTGATAACCACGGTCACACCACCACCAACACACGTTCCGGGATGGTCCCCGAGGCATTTCCCGTTGAGCGAAAATGTACGGTGTGCCGGGCCCAGCGCTAGGCACCTTCATCCTCACCGCGGCGCTGAGAGGCAGGCGGTCTTTTAAGAGAGAAGCGGACGGAGGGGAGCTGCCAACGCGACGGGCTGCGGGGCGGTGGAGCCCAGGCCTGATCGGAGGGCCCGCCGCCGCACCGCGCGCGCTCAGCCCCCCGGCCGTGTCAGCGGGGCCGGAGGTCCTCCCCGGTGCCCGATGCAGACGTGTGAGCACACAGCTCCTCATCAGTGCACGCCGGCCTCTGTCACGCTGCCCCTCGCCCCCCGGGTCCCCACAAGCAGCGGCTGCGCCCTGCAATCCCTGGTGGAATAAAAATGGCTGACCGGATGCCAACGCACCCCGGCTCACACATGGCGAGTCGGATGGAGTGCTGAGCCCTGAAACTGCTGACTGTGTCCATAAGCAAACTTGTTTCAAACAGGCTCTTCCAGTAAACAGAGGGCTGGCTGTCCCTGGAGCCTGCCCGTGGCCTTCCTGCCAGCGGGTGGCCCCGGCCTCACTCAGGCGCCACGCCTTGTCCTCTTGATGGTGACCCCGGGGCCCGGGCGGCAGGGGCTGCAGTCTAGGGTCTCGCCACCTGCTCTCAGCAGCTCCGGGCGTCCACTGCCCATTTCTCTGAGGCTCCTGGGCCCTGGAGAAGGCGCAGCCACGTGTGGAGACCCTGTTCCCCTCACCGTGTGTCTGGGCTCTCTCCTCACAGCGGCCCCCAGAACAGGGCAGCCATGGGGAGGTGGGCCATGAAGTCTCGGCTCATTGGGCTCAGCAACTAATACCTGAAAACTAGTTCAGCTGTTTAATAAATCAGCAGCTGGTAAGCATTCTCTCCTGCGCGGGTATTTCCAACCTGCTTCCCTTAGTCAGAGAGGCAGGTGGCCTGACAAGAGGGGTTTGCCAGCAGGAATGTGTACCTGTTCACCTTTTACATTTTTCAAAAATATTTATAGCGTTTTCTACGCACCAGGCACCGTGCTGGGTGCTGGGTGTGGGAAAGGCTGGCAAGGCATGGTTCAGGCCTGTGGGCAAGGTCTGCCACTCCAGCAAGGAGACAAAGCGAACCAGTCACAGAAACACCCTCACCGGATAAGTGCCCCAGAGGAGTCCGGGGTGCCTGAAAGCATGGAATGGGGTCTCACCTGGTCTAGGAAGAACCTCCAGAGGAGGGGACGTTCGAGCCGAGACAAACGCATGTCATCCCTCACAAGCGAGGTGGTCACAGGAGGCCAAGGGCCCCTGCTCCCCAGACGCCGTGCGTTGAGGACTCACTGGGGAGCTGAGCTGACCGGCAGAGAGAAGGGGGCCCTTGGTGAGGGGACCCAGGGTGTCCTCCCTGCCTGACGCGTGCCCCTCTGCCCTGTACGCAGAGTTCCTGGAGAGCGTGGCCGCCATCTATCAGGACCTGCTGTCGGGCAAGAACCCCAACACGGTGATCGTGCCCACGTCGTCCAGTGGGCAGCACCGCCAGCGGCCTTCCGCGGGCGAGGCCAGCACGCTGGAGGGCGTGGAGGCCGCACTGTTCTACCAGTGCCTGGAGAACCTGTGTGACCGGCACAAGTACAGGTGAGGCCCCGGCTCGGATCTCCAGCAGGCTGTTCTGAGGGCCTGGGGCTCCTAGGCCCTTGATGGTCATCGTATTGAATATAAATCAGAGCCATTTGCCCCCAGTTCAGGCTGATGATTGGCAGGCTTCCCAGGTGGCTCACAGGGACGGATTGCTTCCATTAGGGCAAGACCAGATGTTATTGACCAGCTAGGGCCCCTTCTTCTTGCCAGGAGATAGATTGGTCTTGACTTTTTAGAGAGAAGGAGAAAAATATCCACTGTGCGCAAAATTCACCCTACAGAAAAAGAAGGTAGCTGTCCTGTGTAGCACGAAGTCCCCTTGGGGACAGAGCAGCCAGCTTGTGTCTCCTCTGAGAGGAGGCATCGCCCAGCACCAATTCCCCATCCCCCACCCCTGCCAGTGAAGCACTGATCAGTGAACATGCCAGCCTTTCTGTCCACAGTCAAGGCCTTGCTCCTAGAGGTCTGCCAGGCTCCCCAGGGCTTTAAGGTTCCCAGGGCAGGCAGGTCTCTTGGTTTTCGCCCTCCTGAGGGCTCCCCAGGTGGCACTAGTGGTAAAGAATCTGCCTGCCAAGGCAGGAGACGCAAGAGATGCTGTTTCGATTCCCAGGTCGGGAAGATCCCCAGGAGGAGGAAATGGCAACCCACTCCAGTATTCCTGCCTGGAGAATCCCCATGGACAGAGGAGCCTGGTGGCCTCCAGGCCATGGGGTCCCAAAGAGTCGGACCTGACTTAGTGACTGAACATACCCTCCTAAGCCTTAAGGTCTGGATGAAAAGAAGGCGTCAGACTTAACTAGTGTTTGAATCTGTGTTCTCCCTTCTAGCTGCCCACCCCCGGCACTGGTCAAAGAGGTCCTCAGCAATGTTCAGAGACTGACCTTCTACGGCTTCCTCGTGGCCCTCTCAAAGCATCACGGGATCAACCAAGCCCTAGGTAAGCCGGAGCCAGCTGCCTCCGCCCTGACAGCGGAAAGCCATGTAGGAGCCAATTGTTGGTAGACAGAGTCCCCACAGGGGATGCAGATTTGCCAGGTCTGCCTTGACTTCTAAGGGCCAGACTCTGAGGCCTCCCCTGCTCCTGTGCTGACGGACGGCCTCCCCCACCCGGGTCCTGCCCCAACATGAAGCAGCCTCCCCGGGGCAGAGGCGTGCCCAGCACCCCCGCTCCCCCACCCGTAGGATCCCCGGCTCTGCTCTGGGCACTGGCCTGCAGGTTGGGCAGACACAGACTATTTAATCACTGGCTCCGGAGCTTATGTATCAAAGAGACTTGAACCCCATTTGTAAGCAAGGCAAAGGTGTGTCTCAGGAGACCTTTTTTTTCCCATCTGGGGAGAAAAAAATCTTACTAGTCTGAAAGGGAGTGGGGAAAAAGGGCGGTGGTGGATGGAGGCCGGCTCCGGCCCAGTTTTTCCTGTCCATTGTTTCATCCTCACTGGTCCACCTTCCCCTCCCACCTTCCTCCGCCCCCTCCCGCACCTGCTGCCCTCCCGGGGAGGGGCCACCAAGCTGACATGACCACCCACAGAGCTTGAGAGGGTTCTTCTTATTTTTTAAACAAGAAAGAGCACATCTGCCTGCTCTTTTTTTTAATTATTTTTTGGCTACACTGGGTCTCTGTCGCAGCGTGCAGTCTTTCTCTAATTTGTGGCAAGCTGGGGCGCCTCTCAAGTTGTGATGCACAGGCTTCCCATGGCGGTGGCTTCCCCTGTTGTGGCATGCCAGCTCTAGGGCAAGTGGCCTTGAGTAGTTGTGGAGCATGGACCTTAGTTACCCGACCAGCGATGGAGCTCACGTCCCCTGCAGTGCTGGACCAGTGGGAGACGGAAAGAAGCGTAGGGTCTCTGTCCTCACCTGCATCTCCCATGTATGGAAAAGAGACCTGAGCTACCCCAGGTGCAGCCAACTGTGGAGGGGGGCTGTCCTGTTCCCTTAGTCCTGAGGGCAACACACATACACGCACACACACACACACACGAGGGTTCCATCTAACACAGTGTGATCACCACTAACTTAGAACAAAAGGCGCCAGGAAGCATCATCTGAAAAGGTCAGGAACTGAAGTAGAGCCAGATGGACAATTTTAAGGTCGAGGCTTTCCAGGGACCAGCACTGTTAACTAGCTTCTGACCAGCAGGGCGGCTCTTTTCTCTTACGTTTGAGGGTAAGAATCTATCTGCAGACTCCAGCTTTACCTTCCCTCCCACTGGTAACAGCCCCAGGAGGCACCCTGGACCCCTCCTTTCCCGATGTCGGAGAATGACTGCCCTTCGTTTGTAGCGGGGGAAACCCGCTGAGTGATGTCAGAGAAGGGACAGCGCCCCTCCTGGCGACTTGCGGCTGAGCAAGGAGAGCCGGGTCTCATCCTGACCCCGCCTTCCCTTCTTGCCCTGGGACCCTCCCGGGAGGAGCTGAGACAGCATTTTTTACCATTCTGTCCCCAAAGTGGAATCCCCCTGATTTGGAGGCACAAAACTAAGCAACTTCTGGCCTTTGGGGCCTTGGCCATGTCCTGTGTCTCTGGCTGCTTTTCAGCTCAGTACCTGGGGCCTCGGGAAAGGACGAAACCCTCGGCACCAGCTCGTGCATGAGTCTAAGTCACTTCAGCCGTTGTTGTCTGACTCTTTGCAGCCCCAGGACTGTAGCTCCCCAGGCTCGTCGGTTCAAGGGATTCTCCAGGCAAGAATACTGGAGTGGGTTACCATTTCCTTCTCCAGGGGATCTTGCTGACCCAGAGATCAAACTCCTGCACTGGCAGGCGGGTTCTTTACCAGTAGCACCACCTCACAACATACCATCCAGTCTTGGAAGAAGCTCATTCTGTTTGTGCAGTGACTTTGAATTTGGGGGCTGTCTCGTAGTTACGATTGGGGAGGGTAGGCAGGGGGGCTCACTAAATTTCCCCAGCAGCACCTAGGGCTTACTGCCCCCAGAGCAGATCTTAAACCTCTTCCCTGAATCTTCCAGATCAGCTCTCCCAGGGTCGACACTGCAGGCAGACATGACGATGAGGGGCACAGAGGCGGCTAGTGGGCAAGGGGCTGTCTGGCTGAAGCCCGGGTGGAGGACCCTCGCGTTAAGTTCTGTGCTCCCAATTATTCCCTAGGAGCCTTGCCCGACAAAGGGGACCTGATGCACGACCCAGCCATGGACGAGGAACTGGAGCGGCTGTAAGTGTTGGGTGGGAAGATGCTGCCCCCTTGTGGGCACCAAACCTCAGGCGGATCAGACCCCTACTTGGGCCACACAGCACCTGTCCGTCGGTCAGAGGGGTTGGGGGCCAGCGGAGGCCTGAGGCGGCCGCTCTTTGAATCCTTTGGGGAGGCAGCCCGTGGTCTCACTCACACGCCAGAGTGAGTGAGGGGTCCTAGTCTCTGGACACGAGGGCACCTCGCTCCCTCGGGTGTCTCCCCTTCTTCAGGCTGGCGCAGATCCCAGGCCTGGTCACCTCGGTCACTGCCGGTCCAGAGGCCAGCTGCCTGCCTCCCCGCACCCCTCCCCGGGTTGGCTCCCCCTGGAGACCCCTCCATCTTGCCCGCAAAGTGGATGCAGAGAGCGATGGCTCCACTGAAGAGACAGATGAGTCCGAGACTTGAGGAGTCCGAAGGGTGTTGTCTACAGTACAGGACCCAGCTCTGGGTCCAGTTCCCAGCTCCCCACCCACTCACGTTCCCACCCCTTCTCCAACCCCTGGGACTCCAGGCATCTCCTCTCCCACCCGTGCCGAGCTGCCCTCTACTGGTGAAAAGGCCAAGTGACAGCCCCAGCCCAGAGACGCGCCAGAGAGGTTCTGATGATCAGCCAAGCTAAGCAGTGACCCTAGAAAGCCTACCTAAACAGCCTACTTTCTCCCGTCAGTCAGCTTTTCACCAGGCCCCAAGCTGAGGGCAGATTGAGCTGAGGCCACGGGAAGGGTGACTTGGTTTTACCCTTCTGCTGACCATCCCCATCTCCTCACAGCAGTTCCAGGAACCATGCAGGGCCTTGATGGTCAAGGGTGACACCCAGCGATGCAAGTATTAGGAGGATATAGCCATGGTAGCCTGCTAGAGGACTAGCCACTAACCATAAGGTGGAGAAGGGTGGGAAAAAAGAAATTTCACTTTCAGAAACCGCTTCAAGTCTCCTCTGTGTCTAACAGTTAAATATGTGAAATGAATAAAGTCCCTTGTGTCTGGTAAGTGGTGAGTCTGCCATGAGACGGGTGAAGAGAAAGGGCGAGTTTGAGGTTTTGGTGCCAAGTTCCAGCTTTTTCTGGCAGGACTGGGAAGTTGGGGGACAGAGAACCACTCAAGCCTGGAGACCTGCTTCAGTTCATGAGCAAAGAGGGACTTGCTACCTGCACATGATCTCTGCCTTTCATGGGAAAGGTGGTCACAGTGGGACAGAGCTTTCAGGAACAAGCTCAGATAGTTCAAGGCCAGGTGCCCATAACTTGAGAGACTGGCCACAAAGGGTTGCCGTTGCAGTCTTTTAACCCATTTCATTAAACATTTTCTAAGCACCTGCTCAGGGTTAGGTCAGTGGGGGTGCAGCTATGAACAAGACAGGCGGAGGAGTTACCAGCTTCCAGCCAAAGCTAGACAGTAAGATGTGTGGCCTGCAACTTCCAGAAAGTAAAACTCACCCTAGGACCCAAGCAGAGCAGGCTTCCTCCTCTGAAGCCGTTGGGCACCCACATTTTCCTAGGCTCATCCCTGCCCAGACCAGCACCCCCTGGAGAATTACAGGACTGGCTCCCATAGCTCTGCCTGCCCAGGGCCAGAAGTTCCAGGCCACGTGGTGAGGGCTCAGGGATCTCCAGCCTCCAGCTGACTGGGAGCCATGCAAAGCTGCTGGCTGCCTCAGTCACCTGGGGTGCCTGTGTACAAGGCATACGACCACACCCCTCCAGCCTGGGGGCAGGACACTGAAACGTCTTTATGAGCACCTCCCAAGGATTTCACAATTTCTGATGACTCCGCACTTGGGACATCACTGGCTTAGAGCCCCATGGCTCCTTCCACCCGTCCATTCTCATCACCCATCTCCCAGACAAGTGGTTTACAACTGTCCGCCAAAGGTGGTACAGAGATGTTCCAGAAGTCCCATCTGGGGGAGCTGCCAGGCCATGGGTTTACATGCACGCGCACACAGGCACGCACCTTCCTAGAGTTCCTTTGCACACAGGCACGCACCTTCCTAGAGTTCCATTAAGGTCTTTTTTTTCTAACTCCCCTGAGAGAGACACACACACACTTGCTCTCTCCCCCCACCATCCCTGAGACACCCGCCCCCAGCCAAGCCTGCTGGGCCAGCGGCAGGGCTGCGGAGGCCGCCCGCCCACGCACAGCTCTCGGGGGTGCCACGAAGGGCCAACTAACGCCAGCTCTTTCCCCCGCGTGCAACAGGGTGCTGAGGTGGAGGCCGCACCGGAGCTCGCGGCAGCACAGGGCCAAGGAGCCAGGGGCCTTTGGCTGTCAGAGGAGAGACAAGCTGGAGGCCCCGCAGACAGTGCCCCCCGCTTCGGCACCAACGCCCTGCCTGTGTCAGTGGGAGCCCAGAGAGTGAGGCCAGGGGCCTGCGCGGGCAGGGGGGCAGGATCCAGAGAGGACAGTCCTCCACTCAGACCACCGGAGGCCCAGGGCCCCGTCGGGGCTTTATTCAACACCACTTTGTTTCAATACAAACAGTCCAGAAAGAAGTCACGTCCCTTTGGGGGAAGGGTGCTGGGAACAGTGGTCGGCGGTGCTCGGGGAGCCCAGCCCCCGTCACAGGTGGGGGGCCCAGGCTGCCAGCGGCAGGGGCAGGTGGCACCAAGGATGGTACGGAGCGTGGCCCGCGGCCGAGACCTGCCGCTCCGCAGGTGCTGCGAGCTCTCCGTGGGGGTGCTGCCCAGGGTCCCAAGGCCAGGACAGTGCAAAGGAAAGCCGCTTCGTCCCACACATCCTCTGCTTCCTCAGCCAGCACTACGCTCAAGGCATCCAGGGCGGAGCCCCGGGCAGAGCAGACCCACCACGGCCACCAAGCAGGGGAAGAAGGGACAGAGTCTCCGAGGGACCGCAGTCCACCACGGATGGCACGGGAGGACTTGCACACACCCAGGAGGAGGAGTCCTCCGAGCAATCGCTGCAGAAAGGGTCAGCGAGACAGGAGAAGTCGGGCCTCTAGTCCGATCCAAATGAAAGCTTTAGGTACCAGGTCCAGTTTCTAACCCTTAGCAAGGCCCAGACAGAGGTCCTTCCCGTGCCCTGCCCTCTCGGTGCCGGGAGAGACCACAGGAGCAGCAGCAGCATGTCCACAGCCTCCCTCCCTGGGGGCTGATCCACAGCAGAACTCTTTCCAGACCTCCCTGCCGGTTCCAGAGCCGGGGGCCAACCGCCTGGACCACCTGGAAGGATCCTAGAGCCGGCACAACAGCCTTACACTTTTCACTCTCCCTTCTCGGGGAAGGCCTAGAGCCAGAGTAAGCCATCCTGAGGGAATGCCCTCCCCTCACCCCCAGGGTGGCAGGCCAAGAGAGCAGCAGCGTGGGGGGCAGGACTGGTGAGTGGAGCACACGGGGGTGTGCAGGGAGGGGAGTGAGGGGCCCGGTCTCCAGGCGGAGGTCAGGGCTGCTGCTGCCCCTTCCTCACTGGAGCTCCTCACAGGCCACCCCACTCACACCACAGGCATAAAGTAACAATTCCTCCCCAGCTTCCACAAGGCAAACACCCCAGGCTGAGGAATCATGAGGTTTCTGCTACTGCCACCACCGAAAGTCTGAGATACGGAGCTTGGGTCAGTAGGAACCGTAGCGATCCTGGGGATGATGGAAAGAAAAAAACCAAGTCAGAGTCTCTAACCTGCAGCAGTTTCCCAGCGAGCACACCCTCCCCCAACACACCCCAAGGGACTGGGGGCCTGTGGGGAGGGGTGAGTGAGGAAATCAAGCACCCATCTCACCCAGGCAGAGACTGTCTCCTATTTACTGTGACCTAGGAAAGGGGGTGTGGTCAGATCCCCAGGGGGACGCCCTGCCTGATCACACAGAAGCTGGAGAGGGAGGAGGACTAGAGTGGGGGAAGATCAGTGTAGACATGACACCATCTCAGGGATAGGCCCAGCCCCGGGGCCCAGCTTAGAGGAAGGAAGCTGTCCTCCAAGAAAAGAAAAGGCACCCTCTCGGGCTGAGGCCACCCTGCAGCTGAGTCTGGACGTGGTAGAGAAGGCCGCTTTCTCAGCACTACCCTCCAGTCTCCTCCCACCCCAGGTCACGCGGTCCAGCCTCACCTGCAAAGAATTCATCACACCATTGGCCAGCACGGCCATCTTCCCGGCCACAGACTTGACACCCTGCTTAAACTGGGCGATGTCAGCCGTGGGCAGCACATTCCCCAGGGACACGCTGCCTGTAAGAGGAGGGAGGGGGTGACCCAGTGCCCGCAGGAAGCCCCTGCCAGCCCCCAGGGCCCTCCCACTCGGCCAGCAGGCCCTCCTGGTGCCGGCCCCGGCCCCGGGCCCACCTGCTCCATGCGAGCCATCCACGTCCCCGAAGAGGTCTGATGAGCTGATGGCGCTGCTGCCCGAAAGCTGCTGGAGCCGGGACCTGGCTTCATACTGTGGCGGGGAAAAGGTGAGGTCTGCGGCTCTCTGCGCCACTGACCCAGAACTCACACGGGCCAAGCCACCTGGGTGCTAAAACCCAAACAGCAGGGCAGACAGTCCACTTCCGCCTGCTGCCTCCAGGCTCAGGGTGGACCACCTCACCTCAGTATCCACCTCCCGCCCGAAGAACATGTCGGAGGAGATGGCTTTGGCTCCTGCAAATTTCTGACGTGCTTCGCTCGACTCCAGGCCTGAGCTCCGGCTCTCCACCTCCCTCCGGTTGGTGACTCTGAGGAGTGGACACGGGACAACGGCTCTGACTCTCCCCACCGCCTCCAGGGAAGTGTCCCTGGAGCACTGCTACCCTGTGACAAGCCGAGGCCTCCTGGCGGTGCTCCCCACAGTCCCGCCTGACTGCAGCTCTAGACCTGGGGCCCTCTCTCCTCCACACTGAAGCCACAACACAGAGAACTTCCGTTCCCTTCCCTAGGCAGCACGGAAACAGGGTTTGGAGGGGCCAAGGCTTCTGCCCCACACCACTAGGATGATCCAGTTCTCAGTCTGCCTGGACTTAACACCTCCTCCCTTGGTGTAATTATGAGTATCACCCTTTTACCCTCAAAAGCCTCTCGGTCTTGCTGAGAAGGGGTAAGGTCACCGCCACCTGACCCTGACACACACAGAGCTCGGCGTTTGTCAGTTTCATTTAACCCTAAAGCGGCCCTGAGAAGTTATGAGTTATGTCCCCATCTTCCTAATGGGTTATCTGCAGATATTTATCAGTTAATCATTACCCAGATCAACATGGAAGATGCTTTTAAAAAATTCCTAGATGAGGGCCAGAGACACATAATTGTCGGGAGGTTGGGAACCGAAGCATAAAATCAGGCCCCTCCTGGCAGAAATGGACTCCAAGCACAGCAGGCTAGTTAGGCCTTCTGAGACACGAGAGCGCAGCTCAAACCCAGGCCGGCTTCCTGCACTCTCCAGTCTGATAGCCACTAGTGGCTATCCAAATTTATTTAAGTTAAAAAACTCGGTCCCTCCGTTAACACTAGGCACTCTTGCAGGACTCGGGACCGCATGCGTGGCGGCCACCAAGCCGGCCAGTGCAGCTACAGAGCACTGCCACCAGCACGGGCGTCCTAGGGGACGGTCCTCCACCTTTCTGAAACCGGCCGGATGCTGGAGATGGTCACTTCCGGCTCCTTCTCATCCATCCTATCCACACCCCAGGCAGCATCTGTATCCCAGCGGGAACCGAAACTCTCCCCCAAGGAGAAGGGGTTATCCTTGTACCTAGGGAGACGGTAGAGAGGCTCAGAGAAGCTGGGTGAGGAGCACGGCAGCCAAGCCTGCACCCCAACAACAGCCTTACTTTGGAGGCCCAGAGGCGAAGGTACCAACGTCGTCAAGTAAGTCCAGCTGCGAGCGGGAGGACTTGGCACTCACTGGGGTTTCCTGCTCGATCACCTGCATCTCAGACAGCACCGAGTGGGAGACGGAGCTGCAGAGAGAGGCAGGGCCGGGGCGGGACAGCAGAGTGGGCATCTGTGTCACCGCACAAGAGAAGACGCCCAGCTGTGGGCAGAAACCCGCTTCTCCCTCACTGAGCACCACCCAGAACTTTCTTCCCCTCCCTGCACCCAGGGCTGGTCAAGGCCCAGCAGGGAGTGCTAGACCCTGTGCTGAGCTGGAGGGCACCTCCCCTGTCAACCTATCAGCTTCGTCTTCTCCAAGTAGGGTTTCCCAGGCCAACGGCCGTTTGCCTAATCTCAGTGATACTATGCGCCAAACAGTAGTGCTTTCTGTCCTCAGCTTGTGGTCCCATGAGCCACATCCTGCACCATGAGGGACACAAACGGAAAGGAAGAGATGGAAAATGCCCCAGCACCAGGAAAATGAGTCTAATGGCATCACAGGATGAGTTCTTAAGTAACCCATCCTTTTCTTGTTTTTTTAAAGAACAAAGCATTTCAAACTAGAGTCTGGCCTTACGCACTAAGACCTGAATCTGCTATCTGGTTTCCTAAGGAGAAGAGGCACTGAATTTGGCAGGCAGTACTAACTCGTGATGCCTCTCTTCCCTGCTGTGTTAAAACTCCACAGGGGCATTTTAAGGATTAGTTTCATTTAAATAAATTCATTAAGATCTATAGCTTTTGGCTGGCAGAACTCCACAGAGTTACTATTTGCAACAGAGTTTTAAACAGGGTAGGCTAGGTTTAAATAAGATTCTACTGCATACAAAAAATAAAAAAAATTAAGTATAGCCTTTAACCCAGTAATTTCTGTGACCAAAACAGGGACGAGCAAGAGACGCAATCTGGAGTAAATTTTGTTTTCCTGATTAGCTGTGGGTCACACTAGTAGGACACAGACTGAAAGGGAATAATTGAAATCTAACTCACCACACCCTGAAAGATTAAGTAGAAATACCCAGCTTTGTCTTCTACCTGAGCAACATAGTATAATGGCTACAAATGCTGAATATGAAAGAGTTCTATGTTCAAAATCTAGCTGGACCAATTACTAGTATTTTGGGCTTCAAGCAAGTTGCTTAACTGCTCTGAGTCTCAATTTTCTCATTTTTAAAAAGGGACAATAATACCTCCTGCATAGGACTGTTGTGTTTAAATAAAGCCACTGGCAAAGCTCACACCCTGGAGAGGAGCAGGCACCACTTAGCACAAGCTCACCGTAGCCAGGGTTTCTCACTCTGGCACTGCCAGATATTCTGATTTTTAAAAGAGATAAAAAAAATCTAATATTACTGAAATCTCCAAACGCTAACTCTCAGTGTAAAGTAAACAAAACGCCTAAGAGAACTGGTGAGCAGCTCTTATTTCTGTTTAAGAAAACCACAGCAACCTAAACCCAGTGGTCCTGAAACAGGAAGGGCACCACCCAACCAGGGGCATCTGAGAGTCCAGGAGTATTTCCAGGTGTTATGGGAGCTGTCAGCACTAACAGCCTTTAGAGAGCAGGGGTCAGAATACTGAAAGCCCTGTGATTCCTGGGAAGATCCTGAGAAATAAAGAACTGTCCTCCATCCAAAGAGCCGTCAGCGCCCTCATGAAGAAACACGACCCTGGTCTCTCGGACAGTCGAAAGAGCACCTGATCCTGTGTTTTGACTCGTTAAACAAATAGTTGGCGAGCACAAACCTACCACATGCCAAGCACTATACTTGGTGCTTGAAGACAATAAGCAAGGCCATCTATTCAGCCTCAGAGGAAGACTGAGCTGAGAATACTAGGAAGAACCTCCAGAGGTTCCCCGGAGAACAATGGCATTTCCCTGCCGCACCCCAAAGCTGAACCTCACCTTCGGGACACCAGTCCCATGCCCAACCTCTCGGCCTGCTCTCGCTTCTTCCCTTCCAGGTTCTGCAGCTTCTTCTCCTCCTTCTTACGGTCAATCTGGAGCTCCTGGTAGGCCAGACGCATGGAGGCAACCCTTTGAGGGGACAAGCGTGCCAGAGTTCAGCAGACATCCTGACCTGTCCTGCCCACCCAACCCCACGTAAGCCAGGGCCTCTCTGGCAGACACGCACATGGACTCCTCGGCCTGCTTCTTGGCATCAGCCGCCTGCTGCTCACGGAGCTTCTCTGCCACCTGGGCCTGCCGCTCAATCTCACTGAAACTCTGGCTACTCACCTTCTGGGCCCCTAGGCCCTTCTTGGCACCCAGCTGGGAAGAGAATCATGTGATGAGAGTTTTGCCAACCACAATGTCCTCTGTCCCCTCCTCCCCTCCCTGGCATGGAGGGGACACCCCCAAGGAAAGGGTTCCTTCTTAAAGTTTAGTGTTTAAAAACAAAAAAAAAATAGGAGCCCACCCGCATGGTGGAGAGGGAGAAGAGTGGTTCTGCCTGGAGGCAGGCATGAGGCGGCCCATGCAACCCCAGCGGAGATCTAATGCTGCCAGGCCCGGGATGAGCCAAGCACTTAGGCACACAGTCTCGCTGACTCCTCCTAAGAGCCCTTAAGGACAGGTCTCTTGACAGCCCTTTCACAGCTGAGCCACAGAGAAGCTACACACCTTTACCAAAGTCATACAGTCATTTACCAAAGTGGTCAGATCTGACCCAGCCCCTAACCACCCTGCCATACTGCCTCTCCCCACCTACCCCCTTCTTCGCTGCTGCTGGCTTCTTCTTGCCAATGAGGGAGGTTTTCGGTTCTGTGTGAGGAAGAGGGTGGGGCATGAGGAGAGACAAAGGGACATCAGAGGCGGCAGCTTGGTCCACGCCATGCAGCTTCCTGGCAAGAGCTTCTATGAAGAACAGCTTCAGGCAGAGAAACGCACAGCTGCCACCACCAGCTCCAGCCAATGGTGTCAGGACGTCCAAGCCAAGATGGACACGGTTAGGGGCGGTTACTAACTCCCAGCACATGGATGTAAGGACCCAGACCTGAAGCACCAGAGACAAAGGCCCTGACCCCACACACAGACTGCCAGGCCGGGGCGGCGCCACACACCAGCCTCTGGCATGCAAGGGGCTCCCAAAGCAGCAGGAGGTTACCTCTGGCAGGAAGAACCCCTTTAGGTGACAGATACATGGACTCTGGAGAGAAACAGATTCATGGCTAACAGCGGGCCCTACCCCAGAGCCTCCATACAGCTCCCAAGCCCAGAGGCCTCTACAGAGCCTCACACCAGACCCAGGCCACATCAGCCTTCTCACAGGATCGTGACGGTCACTCTGATGGTTTCCGGTCCCAACCCCCAAAGGTCAACAAAACAAACCAGGGCAACAAATGGATCATTCACCCTGAATTAAGTCTGAAGGACACCAAGAAGACAGAAAAGAGCTGAAAGGCCAGGGACTGGCTAGGAAAGGGCCGCGTCGCCTCTAGCCATTAACAGCTCAGAGCTGTCCCCCTGTGTCATGAAATGGACCAGAGAGGCCAGTCCTGCGCCAGCCTCCAGGGCTAGGTGTCCAGCCTCATAGCGGCCAGGCCCAGGCCCACACGCTGAGGCAGACCCAGGCTTGGGACACCATCCGCCAAGGGCCTGCTCTGAAGTTCCTTTGGTCAACGCTGCAGCCACAGCTTCAATCTCAGGCCCCACTCCAGAGAGACAAGAATTCGGTCTCCTGGGACCTCAGTCCACACAGGCAGCAGCAGATCTGAAGAGAACCCCCACGGCCCACCCACTCCCAAGACACGCCACTCCTGCCAGCTGGTATACTGACCCAGAGAGGCTTTGGGTGAGGTGCCAAGCAGGTCCATGTTGGGGCCATGCTCCGGCTCTGTGAATGCAATGGTGGAAATTAGGTGTGACACTCAAAAACTTCCTATGAGCTGCTCTTCAAAGTGACGGCACTGCTTTCCTCAGCTTTCTGAGGCCACCAAATAAGAGAAGGAATTCCTACCAGTTTCCCTAGGGGACTTAAGTAACTCCCAGCCCACCCAGAGATACACGAGACTCCTCGCTTCCATTCCCTCGGTCAGGTGTCCCACTCCTCTGCCTCAAGCCCTTTGCCAAGACCAGGGTACACGGCTGAAACATGGGCTGAACTCACGTGCCAGGCCACTGCTCTCTGCAGACGGGGCTGGCTGCTGGGTCTCTGATGGGTCAGTGGCTGGTGCATTCCAGGCAGGGGGCTGAAAGAACCAGATGACAGAAGCCTCAATGAGCCATTCCTGCTGGCAAAGAGCGCCAAGTACCTTGGGGGTACAAGGCCCTACTCCAAGCCCGCCCGTGAGGAAAGGAAACTGGAGGTTAGCGAGTAAAATTATAGTTGCTGTTCACTATGGAGGGCTCTCCCAGTGGCTCAGACATTAAAGAATCAGCCTACAATGTGGGAGACCTGGGTGTGATCCCTGGGTTGGGAAGATCCCCAGAGGAGGACATGGCAACCCACTCCAGTATTCTTGCCTGGAGAATCTCCATGGAGAGAGAAGCCTGGTGGGGGCAACAGTCCATGGGGTTGCAAAGAGTTGGACACAACTGAGCGACTAAGCACAATGGAAGAAAACAAGAGAAACTACAGCCATCACCACCTCTTCACTACTTACTTACACCTAGAATGCATTTCCCTAATTGAATAACCACCAACAACCAATGGTCACTCACCATGTGCCAGGTACAAGTCTTAGGGGCTTTTCACACATAAATATGTTTAATTATCACAACAAACTTATGAGGTAAATAGTTCTCCATCTTAGAAACTGAGGTTTTAACACATTAGGTATCTTACCCCACACTAGAAAGGCCAAGCAGAAGAGCAGGGATCCAAACAGACAAAGTCTGACTTGAGCACCCAGCACCAACAGAGGGAAACCTCCGGGGGTGGGTTTCTTGGGAGGGAATCCTTTCACATAGGGAAAGAACCCAGAAAAAGTTATTTGGGTTCCTGATATCTCTTGAGCCTTCAAGTATCTTCTCATCCTCCCTAGCACCCCACTTTATAGGGTTTCTGTTCCTAAGGAGGGCCACACTGCAACCCTATTTATGAAAGGAGGAAAAAGCCAGCTTTACCCAGCAGTGGGCCCCACACATTCCCCGTAGGGGATATCACACCAAGGCGAACAGGATCCATGCCTGTGACTGGGCCTCAGCCTCAGTAAGTAAACCACCTGTCAGGAACAACTGTGGGAAACATTCCTGTGGCACTCACTTGAGTATGTTCCAAGAAGAAATCGGACTCCTTCTTCTCTGGGGAGTGACTGGGAGCAGTACTCACACTGTCTATCCAAAGCTAGAAAGGAGAAGACACCACTGAAACACAGGACTCTGAATATACCCACTCCCCCCACGACCCCAGCCCCAGGAACAGGAACTCACATCAGTGCCATGCCGAGCCAAGGCCGTGCTCCCCAGCTGCCGGATCTTCTCTCGGTACATCTGGGCAGCTCGACTATTATACTTGGTGTTGGCATCATTGGCTGTGCATCCATGTTGGCGGAAAAAGGCTGTCTGGTGAGCCAAGAAGTGAGAACATGCTACAGGTGATTTTTCCCAGAGCAAAAGAGGCGCCCCCCGCCCCCCACACACACAACAGCCCCATTATTACTCAAAGAGAATGATACACACTGCTGACACCAGCAGTTTTTCAAAAAGTTCCTCAGAAACTCCTGCAAGATAACACAGCCACCCATCCTGTAGGATGAATGTCTGAAGCCTAACCCTCACTCAACTCTGCCTGGGAACAGCATGATACACCCATCCTTCCTCCAGGCCGACAAGAGCTGGTCGACCGTGGAGGCCCCAACTCCATTGGCCTCTCCCCAAGAATGTCTGCCCCAGTTAGTTTGAATCCAAAGCCCCTTTGAGAAGAACAGTGACCAATGTCCAAGTTTAGAGAACAGCGTACAGAGCTGCCACAGACCAGAGAATCCTCTGAACAGAGAAACAGAGAAGGCCTCCAAGAAGTCACTGAGAGGTGAGTACCCGGACAGAAGAATGGGGGCAGGAGGATGCTAAGGAGAAGCTTTACCGCATTGGCATTCCCGCCGACCTGCATACACCGCACCTGGAACCAAGTCCAATTGGAATCCAACTCTGTGGACCTGTGTGCAAGGGCTGTGTGTCACCTACCAGCAGGTTCCAGGAGACGCTTCCCTGAGAGACCCACACCTGTCATTTGGCCTCGGGTTGCAGTAGGCACCCCAAAACCCTCCCCAGCCACCAGCCTGTCTCCTCCACTCCACCCTGTCCGGGAGAGCTCTGCTCCACTCTCATGTAGTCAAAAGGGTGCTAACTGTTTTCCAGATGCCAAAGGAAATGGAAGCTTGGACTCAGCCTTCCTCTTAAGGACAACCAGAGTCTCGCTCCAGCGTATCACCAACTAGATCAACGCAGGTAACTCTCCCCCCGAAACTAACATTTCGAGAGTCGAGCATGACTACCAGCGAAGAGTTCTGACCCAGACGCGGAGACGAACCGCCAGTGTAACAAGAAGCCCACACAGGCGGTTCCCATCCGTGAGAGTCTGGCGAACACTAAACTCAGGGCGGTCCAAGTCCAGGCAGCCCACTCTCCCCTGCCGAGCACTCAAGTCCCGACCAGCCGCGAGGAGACCACACCTGATGAAGCTGAGATGGACGCCCAGGGAGCGATGCACCCCGGAGCAGTCAATGCACAGAAAAACACCGTACGTGATGCTGGCCCAACTCGGATTCTTGGCGCCACAGTCGAAGCAGGCCTGGACAGAGAAGGAGATGAGAGAACGGTCAGGGGCCTCGAGTCGAGGCCGGGCGCTGACAACCCAGGAAGAGAAGCCCACGCCGGCCCTTCCCCATCCCTCAGACGCCAGGGGACCCGGGGGAGACCCTCTCGGCCCGCCCAGGGCCCCGCACGCCTCCCTCTCCCGCACCTTGTTGGTCGGAATTGCGCGAAGCCTCTTAAAAAGCGTCTGGATCTCGGTCTTGCTCGGCTCGGCCGCCATTTTCTCTCCTTCCCAGAACAGCAGCGCGACCGACGGGTCCCGCCACGTGCTAGGCTCGGCCCTCGGCCTCGGTTCGGGTCAGTTCCCGAAAGGTGAGTAATGATTGACCGTCCCTACCAAACACTCGCGGTGCCGCCGACCTGAATGGGAAGATCAACTGGCGGGGCTCCCGCTCCGGTCAGAGCTCAGCTCCCGACCTCCACCCATCTTCGGATGCCTCGCACCAAGTCTGATCACGACTCCCCTGCGGGACCCCAGGTTAGGTTAGGGTCCCAGAGCAGGTACCAACCTGGCTCACCTCCGCCCAACCCCCGCCCCCGCTATATACTGCAGGCCCACGACCTCCCCCCAGTGCCTCCCGCCAGATGCCCTCGGCCGCCTGGCAAGGGTGCAATAGCGAAAAAGATGCACAGAAGCCGTTTTTTTTTTTCTTTGAAGTTTAATACACACTAGAACAAGCCACAAGAGTGTTGCTAGCCCAGAACTACACTCACCCCAAGTCAACCCCAGGAACCCCAAAACAGACCAGGAACTGGGTCCACAGCTCCCGGGGAGACTGGAGGACCCTTTGGGGAGGCCCAGGCACCCCTGAGCCTTTCGGTCACTTCCTGACCTCCCCATCTTCCCCTCAGCCTAGACTCAGTTGGCCCTTCCCTACCAGTCCCTTCCCAGACACAAGGCCCCCCCACCTTCCCTGGGTTCCAGGACTTCCTCCCTCCTGGAGGGACAGAGCGGTCGCAGGGGTCAGGATGGTTCAGGGCCCTCGGGTCCGGCTGTCCAGACAAGCTGGGCTCTGACTCAGGGTGGAGAAACATTGCATAAGGGCTGCCAGGGCAGGTCAGGCCCCCACACACTCCACGTAGTTGGCAGGGTACAGGCCAATCCGGCCACTCTGCAGCTGGCCCTGACACCAGCCCTGTTCATCCTCCTCGCTCATCTTCAGCAGCTCCTCCCCTGCGAGAAGGGGGATTGGTCACTGGCGATTGCCCGCCCCACTCCTGCAACTGGGTCAAGGACTAAGGGGGAGGGGGTAGTCGGCAAACCCAGCTAGAAGAGACCAGGCTCAGGCAGAGGGAGGTCAAAGTCAGCCACTCCACCCCCACCCCCCACCCCCAGGCCCTGAATTCAGCAGTCAGGCCCCAGCTGGTGACTTTGAGAGGCAGGTGAGGGCTCCAAGCAGACACACTGACTCCTGCGGGATGGACCCAGAGCAGCCTTTTTCTTTTTTAATAGTTTTTTAAAAATATTTATCTGGCTGCACGGGTCTTAGAAGTCACATGCAATATCTTCAATTTGTGTTGCAGCGTGCATGCAGAATCATTCGTTGTGGCATGTGAACTCTTAGTTGGATCTCATTCCAGGGATCAAACCCCGGGCCCCCAGCACTGGCAGCATGGAGTCTTAGCCACTGGACCAGCAGGGAGGTACCTAGAGCAGTCTTCAGCTCAGAGCACGTAAGCTTAAGCACCAGATGCTTAAAATGAGCATCTGGCTTCCCTTTCTCCACATTCCTGCTCAGACTAGTAAAGGGGCGAGGGAGACGGGCTGCAGCCTGCAAAGGACCAGGAGCGGGGCTCTAGGGTACCTGCTCGGAAGCTGAGCTCATCGGCTTCTTGCCCCGCGTAGTCATAGAGCGCCCGCACCCGCACGCCCGTGGCAGCCTTGGGGGGGTTTTCCTCATCTGACCACTCCTCCTCGTGTCTGCCACTAGAGGGGGGAGAACAAGGGGGCAGGCTTGAGCAGGAGCCTGGGACTCAGGGCCGAGGGCTCCCCCCTACAGGAGCCCAGGGAGAGGCAGGTGGGGGAAAAGCTGCAGGATTCTAGCCTGACTTCTGCCACGAATGCCTGCAAGCTCAGGCACACGTCCGGCCACGCAGAGCTGACACGGGCAGTACATGAGAGGGAGTGTGGGGAGCACCTGGCAGACCACCATATAAACTGGCATCTCTACAACTCAGAACACCAGCTTTGAACCCACTTCAGGTGTGAAGGGCATGAAGGGAAGAGAGAGAGGAAGGAGGAGCGCACAGCAGCGGGCAGAGCTGTGTCCTTCCCACAGCCTGGATCCTGGCTCTCACCGCGGGGACCCTGAGGACTGGGGCAGGGGTGCAGCGCCATCTCTGGTGGGTACGATGCTGGTTAGGGTAACCTCGTCAGGGCTCCGGCCACCCTTCTCCTTCCGGCTGATCGTCCTCTGTGTGTCCAAGGACCACTCCTGTGGGGACAGAGTTCAGGGTCGGGTTGGGTTGGGCTGTAGGCTTGGTGGCAGCCAGAACCATCCAGACCACCTATACCTACTCCATCCCAAACCCAAGCCTCCTGCTGGAGCACCAGAGTAAGCCCAGTGGGAGCCTACCCCATCTCCCAGCCCCAGCCTGCCAGGAACAGGTACCTCAAACTGGGGCCAGTTCATGGCCATGCCCGGCCCATGGGTGCTTCGCCACCAGCGCAGGTCCTCTTCGTCGCTGGCTGCCTCGATGCCCTGATGCAGGTCTCGGTGGAGTTCGTGGAACCTGTGCCCCGGGTATAACCCTCAGGCGGGGAAGCCCTGGGCCTCTATTCCCCACCCTACCCCCACCATGCACACCCTGCCCCGTCTCATTCAGCCCAGCCAGAGCCCAGAGGCGAAGGGAGAGAGCCAAGCCTCACCCAGATCTCCAGGCCCACCCGGCAGGCCGTACCTCTCACTGCTGGAGAGATCCAGATGCTGGTGTAAGGTGAGCAGCATATCCTTGAAGAAGAGAAGCCGCTGGCGCTCGGCCGCCTGGCAGCTCTCGAAGGCCTGCTCCATGTCCTCCATGTAGCGTGGGGTGTAGCGGTGCAGCTCCGCCAGGGTCTGCTCATACTGGGTCTTCGTCTGGGTGGGGAGAGGCGGGGCTCTGGTGAGGACAAGACCTTCTTCCCCCACTCAGACTCTGCTAGTCTTTCCTGCATACCTGCTGTGAGCTAAGCACCAGGGCCCGGAAACCTGGCTCCTGCCCGCGAGGACCCCAGGAGCCTAACAAGGGAGGTGACATTCAGGCCCAGCAGCTTTAAGAGTCCGGTGGAGGGACTTCCCTGGTGGTCCACTGGTTAAGAAGACGCTTTCCAACGTAGGGGACGTGGGTTCAATCCCTGGTTGGGGAACTAAGATCCCACATATCTTAGGGAAACTTAGCCTGAGCACCCCAACTAACACCCAACAAATAAATAATAAATTTTTTTAAATAGATTTTTTCAAATTTAATAAACAAACAAACAAACAAAAAGGTGTTACAGAGTGCGATAAGGTTAACCTATGGGAGCAGAAAACGGCAGCCCACTCCAGTGTTCCCAAGGACAGAGGCGCCTGATGGACTAGTCCTTGGGGTCGCAAGGCAGACACGACGGGCCTCACATGCACGGGCACACACACACATGGGGAGCTGTGGAAGAAATCAGAAAAGGCTTCCCAGCAGTGGAAACAGAGCAGCACCTCAGAGGACAGGGAGGCTCTGGATACGCGGAGCTGGAGGAAAAGCGCTCTGGCCAAGTGAGCAACATGAAAACTTGTCCCAAGGGGCACACAGAAAGGAAAGCAGCTGGGAAGGTCTCCTCAACTGCTAAGATTATCCCAGTGGCCCACACCGCACCATTTCTTTCCTGCCTAGAGCATCCTCTTTCCCTGGTGCGTGCACACTGCGCTGCTCAGTCGTGTCTGACAACTTGCAGTTCCGTGGACAGTAGCCCGCCAGGCTCCTCTGTCTGTGGGATTTCCAAGGCAAGAATACTGGAGTAGGTTGCCATGCCCTTGTCCAGGGTATCTTCCCTAACCAAGGATCAAACTCACATCTCGACTGCATCGGTACTGGATTCTTTATCACTAAGGCCATTGGGAAGCCCCATCTTTCTCGGGGTCCGATGTTACATGATAAGATGAAGAGCAGGGGGCAGGTGAAGACGAGAGCAATGCCGGGGGCTGGAGAAAGCACTCAGGGAGCCCTGAGCTGGGCTGCCGGGTCCCTCAGCCTGTACCTTCTCCGCCTCCTTGGAGCAGCGCTCCGCCCGTTCCTGCAGCTTCCGCAGCTGCTCCTGGGACACGGCGCTGTCTGCCTTTGCGTGGCTCTCCCGCGTCTGGGCGGTCTTCTCCTCCTTCCGGGCCGTGTGGTAGCTCTTCTTGGAAGCCTCAACCTGGCGCACACGCAGGGACCGACCGTGCTGGACCCAGGACCCTGCGCCGCGGCCCCTCCTCGCCCCGGGCCGACCCAGGCAGGGGGCGGGCCTCTGCGGTCCCTCCTCCCTACCGGGCTCACCTCCTTCAGCCTCTTGAGCCAGGGCTTCTGGGCCTTGCGGAAGCCGTCCTCGGCCGCCCGGCTCTCGCGGAAGCCACCCAGCACAGGCCGGTGGAAGGCGCCCCGCTGCCAAGAGCGCACCCGCTCGCTGTCCTGGCCCTGCAGCTTCTCCCGCACCTCCAGGTGCAGCGCGCTCAGCCGCTCGGCCGCCGTGAAGAAGGCGTGCCAGGCCTTCTCCAGCGTGCCATACTGGGGGCCTGCGGGGAGAGGTGAGCTGGGGTTGGGCCCGGGCTGCTGGCAGCCCCCAGCAGGGGCTTCTGGGTGCCAGGCATGGGGCAGAGATGCGAAGATGAACGACAAGTGACGTCAGCTGCTGCTGACTGAACACCTACTGTGTGCCTGGACACACGGTCCCACTGAATGCTTGACTCATCCACCACTGTGAAGATGGCATCACCAACAACGTGGAACAAGTGAAAAGGCAGCCCAGAGAAGGGAAATTCGTTGCCCCGAGCATTCCAGCTACAGGTGGAGCTCAGATCCAAACCCAGGTGTGTGGTAAAAATCACTACGCTCTGTTGCCCCAGAGGGAAGAATTAGTGTCTGTCCCCAACGAAGGCAGCTTGTTTGGATAGAAGGAGCCCAAGCTCCAAAGCAGAAAAACCTGTGGGCAAGCGCTAACTCTTCTTAGCTGTGTGACTTCAGGCAAGTCAGTTGGCCTCTCTGAAGTATCCCATTCTCCTCTAGCAAATAGTTAGAACAAGACCATCTCCATGATAGGGCTGTGGTTGGTTGGTTGTAAGTCACGTCTGACTCTTTGGCCACCCCATGGACTGTAGCCTGCCCGGCTCCTCTGTCCATAGGATTTCTCAGGCAAGTGTACTGGAGCAGGTTGCCATTTCCTTCTCCAGGGCATCTTCCCGACCCAGGGATCCAACCCACATCTCCAGACTCCCTACCACTGAGCCACCAGGGAAGCTCACAGCGTTGTTAGAAATACCAGAGTAACTCATATGAGGGTGCTTGGCAAACCCTAAGAGCACAACTGTAAGAATAACCAGGAGGACCTTCTCTCTTTAAAGGGAAGGCGGACAGGGAAGCCTCCAACTTTCCACAAGAGGTGCAAAAAGAAACTGCCCTGCCTGGCTGCACCCCCCCCCCCCGCCCCGCCTTGGCGGTCCTCTCCTCCCCACGGGGCCAAGCGCAGGCTCACCCTTCTCCACGGCACCCCTCCACTTGCGGGCCCAGTCGGCCAGCTGCTGGGCGTAGGCCTTCTCGATGCGGGCGCGCTCCTGGAAGCAGCTGATCAGGTCCCCGCAGAGCCGGTGCCCGTCCTCCACCCGCTGCACGGTCCGCCTGTAGTTGCCAGCCTGTGCAGGAGACGAGAAGCCTGGTGTCGCCCCGGGGGAGCCGCTCCCCCCCCGGGGGCCAGGGCTGACACGAGGCTCCTCCTTGGGACAGGTGGCTGGGCCCAGAGAGGGGTGGGCATTTCAGCACCACCCCCAAAGCTGGCACCCAGCTGCTCACCTCCCAGAAACTGCCCTCCAGGGCCTCCCCTCCAGCCTCTTCCTCTGGAGCCATGGTGTCCCCGCAGCACGGAATGGTGGCGGATTGGGGCTGCAGAGGGCAGAGGGGTAAGCAGGAAAGCCAGGCGCACTTCGGGGGCGGGCAAAGAGCCTCTGCTATCCCTGGGTTCTGCCCCCCACCCCCCACTGCCATCCCCACTCCCCAAGGAACTGTCAAGAGCCAGGACTCAGCAGGCAGGGGTCTGGAAGTCCCAGGAGGGGCCCGAAGAGGGCAAAGATGGTCGTTCCACGGCTCCTCCTCTTGCCCTGGCCTGCCCTCCCCACCAGCTCACTCCATGTACCTGGGCCTAGGGTTCACTCCGGAGACCTGGGTGTCCAGCCCTCACAGCTGCCACCGTGATCCTGCCTCGACGCTAACAAGAGCAAAGCAGGCGGTGAGGGTGGGGCTGACCACGTCCAGGGCGGTGCCCAGCTCCCCCGATATAGCAACTGCTGTCAGAAGCGCCAGATTCCAGCCAGGAGAATGCCAGTCGGGTCACACGGTCCAGCCGGGGATTACATGGCAGGCGGGGGTGGGTAGTGGGCAGAGGGCCCCACTGCCCCGACCGCAGATGAAATAAGGGGACGCCTGCCCAAGCCAGGGCTCTGTGGCCTCTCCTGGAACAAGGCTACCCCTCTCCAGACCCAGCCAGGTCAGAGGGTACCCAGCCACACCCCAGGAGCTCCCCTCACTGGCCAGAGCACACTGGGAGCCAGGAGGTCTGAGTCTTATCTTGGCCATGAAGCTTGAACAAGTGCATTATACTGTCGTCTCCTAAAGGGCCTCGGCTCCCTCCCAAAATGGAAATCCCGCCTTCTTCCCTGTTTCAGTGCCAACACTGGTATAAGACTCAAGGCAGCGAATAAGACCTGTGAGGAGCCTGACAGTCACAAGGGACACTCATCCTGCTCCACGGCATCCCTGAGGTCCCACAGGATTCCGTGAATAATGAGTAACTCAGCCCCACCCTCCAAAAGCCCAGAGTCTGGGGCAGCACGAGGTGTCAGACAGGTGATCAGCCAGTTAAAACAGTGCAGCTCCAGGACTGCGGGGGAGGGCAAGGCAGATTCCAGCCCCAGAGCTCCCCCCGGGGGGCTGGAGGACCCAGAGGCACGCGGCCACTCCCTGCCTATCTCTGGGCAGGGTCTCAGCTGTCCCCAGCATCAACTCAAGCCCCTAGAAGGAAACCACTTCCTCCTCTGAGCAAACCCCAGGGACACGGCCAGGCCTGGGAGAACAGTGTGTTCACTGCCCCCAAGGCAGGGCTCTATGACAGTCCTCCCCCAAACTGACTGCCTCCCCACCCTGCAAAACTCAAGAGTGAGGGCTTCCCAGGTGGCTCAGTGGTAAAGAATCCACCTGCCAATGCAGGAGACTCAGGTTCGTATCCCTGGGTGGGGAAGATCCCCTGGGGAAGGAAATGGCAACCCACTCCACTGTTCTTGCCTGGGAAATTCCATGGACAGAGGAGCCTGGCAGGCTATAGTTCACGGGGTCACAAAGAGTCAGACACAACTTAGCAACTAAACAAACAATACTTTAAATGGGTGAATTGTGTGGTATATGTCAATAAAGCTGTTATTAAAGAAAATCGAGTGAGGCATCTTCTCCAGGCACCCTCCCATTTCTCCATCCCCAATCTCCACCCCTCTCTCCAGGTGTATATCACATTGGGTATATATCTCCGGGTATATATCACATATCGCCTTGTGACGATATTGGCAGAGACTTCCTGAGGGTCCAGTTTGTGTTCCTCCAGATATTCAAGTTAGTAGCTGAATTTAAAACACAAACGACCTCCACCTGAAGACCAGGAAATGCATGGGCTGTGGCAGCTTTGAGAAAGCATGGCCTGAGTGGGCTTCTGCCTCTCAGTTCAGAGCAGGGAGAGCTTGGGCCCTCAGCGGAGCTGCCTGGGCCCAGAGAAGGATGGAGCAGCCCGCCCCTCCGGGGTCCTCAGCGCTTCCCCCTGGCTTCCTCCTGAGTCTGTCCCATTTACCCAGAAAGGACGTGCCAACCAGATGGAGAGGAACAGAGCTGCAGCTGTAAACCCCAGGGCCTCAAGAGCTATCCCAGCCAGGCATCCAGGGGCCGGGGCCCCCTGCCTGCCCCAGCCTCCCGGCTCCCGGCTCCCAGGAGAGCTGCCCCCCACCCGTTCCCTCTCTCTGGCCCCAGAACAGAGCGAGCTGTGTGTGCAGGGCTGGCACCGCTCCCTCCGGCCTCCCAGAGCAAACACGAGCCCAAGCCCCAGGCACAGCCAGCCCCACTGCTCCGGCGGACCCAGCAGTGGGGGGAATGAGCCTGTGCCTTGACCCCTGCCGAGGAGGGCCAGCCCCCTGCGTCTCCCGACCCCGGCAGAGACCCCGCCTGGTCCCCAACACACTCCTGCCACGGCCAAGAGCTCGCGAAGCAGATCATGAACCTTCCCACCCAGGGAGCCAGCACCTAACTGGGCTTGGCAGGGTCTCCTCACAGCGTCCTGAGCCAAGGTAGGGAGTCTCGGGGTTCAGGGAAGAACCCACTTTCCCTTAGGAGGCCGGGAGGTACTCGCCCGACCCTGTCCCGAGTCCCACGGCAAGGCCCTGGGAGGGAGCCCTGCTATCCTGCCCTTGCCCAGGCTCCGTCCTGAGTCACAGGCTGCGCCCAAGGACCTCTTCTCCCGGCAGCCCCTCCCGATCCGCCCGCGGATTTGACGGCACCGAGGCGGGCGGTCGACCGGTCCAGAGAGGGGTGCTCAGGCAAGAGCCACCGGAACCTGCAGCCAGGGAGGCCCCCGAGGCTGGGGGAGGGGCGGCGCGGGGAAGGGGGAGGAGGCCGGGCCCGGGAGGGGCATAACAAAGGGGCACTTTTGGAAACCCGACCTGCCCCGCCTGAGGTGCCAGCTCCCCGATGACGCACTCCCAACCCGGAGCCCTCACACCAAGCCTCCGAACCCAGGGGCCGCCGGTCTCTGGCCTCAAAGCCCTTATGGACGGGCGCCCTGCTTGCGGGCCGGGCGCCGCACACGTCGGAGCCGGTGGAGCCCACGAGGAGCGGCCGGGCCAGGCCTGGCCCTGGAGACTCCAGGACTTCTCGGCCAAACTCGCTGAACTCGGTCTCGGCGGGAGGTGGGGGCCCGTCGGCCACCGCTGAGGGGAGGGGGCGCACCCTGCCTTGGCCCGCGCCGCCGGCAACTCCAGATGGTGGCCCGGGACCGGCGGCCCCAGGAACTGGGACTCTTTGCTAAGGGCGAGGGGTCGCTGGGGAGCGAGGCCTCTGCTGGGGTCCCCGGGCGGTCGGGGACCTTTGAGGGGCCCCAGGAGATGGGGTGGCCCGCCAGCCCCGACGCCTCCCTACCCCCCCCCCCAACCCCGCGGCAGGTCTGGGAAAGTGCCGGGCGCGCGGCGCCGCAGAAGGGTCCTCCCCCTCGGCGCGGCGGCAGCTCTTGCCGCGCTCACGCAAAGCGCGGCGACCCCGGGACTCCCGGGGCTGGAGCCGATCCCACTGCAAACTTCAGGAGCGGGAGGAGGAGAGGGCGTGCTCTATCTAGCCGCGGCTCCCGCCACCGCCTCCCCACCGTCCCCTCCCGAGCAGCACTCACCGCGTCCTCCCAGGGCGCCTCGGCGGATGGGGGGGTCCGGCCACGCTCCGACCCAAGTCCTGTCGCTCCCGGGCCCGGGCCGCCGCCTCCCGGAGCGCGCCGGGCCCTCCCCCCGGGAAGCCCAGCCCCCAGCCCCGCCCTCTCCTCGCGGCCGCGGGCCCCAACCCCACCGGCCAGCGGCGGGGCGCAGGAGCTGCCCGCATCGCGCCGACAGGCGCGGCTCCCGGGGCGCGGGCCGTGGGGTCTCGGTTCCCGCCCGAGGAGCGCCAGGGCCGCCTATCCAGGGCGGTGGCGCTATAAGGAGTCTGATTTCGGCTTTGCCCCTCCCCGGCCTCGGCAGAACCTGGGAGAGCCGTGGAAGCGGGAAGGAGTCCGGCCTGCACCGGCTCCCTTTGGAGGGAGACCTGGGGGGTGCTACACTGCCTTGCTCTTCTTACTGAGCATAGCTTTCTTAAAAGTTAGAAGTTAACTTAGACGTTTACTTAGACGTTAACTCTGGAGAGGCTCATAACCATCCCCTTGTAAGCATTAGGACTCCCATTGTATAGATGCAGAAACTGAGGCTCAGAGACCTTTAGCACCTTGTACAAGATCTGTCGTCGGGCAGGGCCGGGACTCCAAAGCCTTGCCTTTTCCTTGCATAGCCCTCCTGGCCAATCTGACGGCCCATTCTGAGGACTGGGTCCGACACGCTGTGGAGGTGGAGCAGAAAGTCATGAGCTCCTCCCCCCCACGTGTTCTTATTCCCAGATTTTGTACCACGGTTCATTCTTAAATCCCTTCTTCCTCACCCCCTTGCCCTGCACCCTGGGATTTTTCGGAGCCTGCCTGTCGGTTATTTATATCCACTGGAGCGGTCCAAGAATGTTCTGAGTCTGACCTAATCGCCACCTGCTCGGTCTCCCGGCCCCTCCCGCTTCCTCCTGGGCCCGGTGACCCGGCGGCCGTGCCCTCCGCCTGGCAGGCGAGAGGGGGCGCAGGTCTGCGCGGTCCGACGCCGGGGGCGCTCAGAGGGTCTGGACCGCGCAAATTGCTGTGGGCCGCAAACCCTCCCGCGCTCTCGGAGGAGTGCGCCCCCAGGGGACGGCGTGCGCGCTGGGAAGCAGAGAGCCAAGCTGTTCTCTCCCCAGCACGTCCTCTCGGTCCCCACGCCCCCGCCCCCACCCCTACTCCCCGAGGAGTGTGAGTCCGTGTGCACGGATTTTTAAACGACAGCTTTAAAAATAGCAAAATTATGTAGTTTCTAAATCCGGGAGGAATCACGGACGCGTTCTCTGCGCAGATAAATCCGCTCATAAAATGAAAAGGGGGCTTGCAGAGAATGAACGGGGAGAATTTCAAACGGGCATCTAAGCCGCTGAGGACTGACTTGCCCCGCAGTCCCCGTGGGAGGGTGAAACCGCCTGTGGGGCACCCTAGACAAGACGCTTTCGGCCCCTCGCACCTGAGTAGTGATTCTCGCCTGGGCGCTCGCAGGGTGTGAACCCAGCAGTACATAGCTCCCGAGACAAGTTTCAACACCCACTCTGCTGGGGCTTGGACAAGTCCCTTTTCTCCATATCTCTGTTTCCACCTCTATGAAACATGACAGGTGACTGGGCTGACCTCCCAAAAGGGCCTGTGCAGCAGCTTATTAATGCTTGTAAAACGACTGCAAATAAGAGGAGCTGAGGGAACATCTACTGACAGCCATGTTATTATTTTTGTATTATTATTCAAAATCAGTTACCATCCCACCTAGTGCCCGGAGGGGCTTTAGGCACCTGGACAGAAAGTGTGATCACAAGAAAGAAATGAATTACAGGAGCCACCTATCAAAAACCCATTAAAAATAAAGGCTGCAAGCCAGACTCTGGGATCTAGGGAAGTCTCTCTAGAAACTCAGAAAAAACAGGGCTGTTTGTCAGACCACAAAGAGAAGGGAATGCGGAGTGGGAAACATCTGGCATCCCTCGGGTTCAAATCTGGAGAAATGCTGCAGCTGATCTTAATTGCCCCTAAGGTACTGTAGGGAGAAAAAAATACACCAAAACCCAGAGCATAGGGAGCTGCTTCAAGGGTCAGAGGAGACAGAGCTGACCTTGGAAAGCCAAAGGCCTCCTAGTGCTGCCCCAGGGTCCAGATTTCTGTGCTCCACAGCCAGAGCCCCTAAGCACTCACGGGGCTCCATCAGTGTGTTCCCAACTTGAACAGAGCTCAAGATGGGATGCCCGAGGTCAGGAGGACCGGATAGACAGAAACCCAGAGAGGCAGCTTGGCTCCCGGCACCAGGCGGCAGGCTGGTCCTCAGCCCAAGTTCACAACACTCACAGACTCACTCACCTAGACTTTCTGGAATGTTCTAAGCACAGTTCCTTTGTTTGTTTATTTATTTATTCACTCAGCCAATCAAGAAAACATTTGCATTTTTGCTTTATGCTAAGCCCTAGGCTGGGTGTTGGGAATACAAAAATAAAAAAGGCAGAGTCCGAGGTGTACGTTAATGATACAATATGAGCAGGAAATACTACGGGGAAACAGAAGCAGAAAAGACCACCTTTCACTGGGCGACAACACTTGACTGGTCTTGATGAGCAAGAATTAGTCATGTGGAGAGGCATTCTAGGCAGGAGCATCAGGGTGTGCCAAGCACCAGAGGTGGTAGCATATGACGTGGTAACCCAGCAATTCCACTTTTTGGTATCTACCCCAGACAAACGTGTACAAGACTAGGAAAAGGTCCAAGGATGTTTGCATATAGTATTGTTTGCAGTAAGGGAAAAACTAGAAACAAGTGATAGTGGTTGGGTGACATCCCTGGGGGTCCAGTGGTTGGTTGGGACGCTGCCTTTCTACTGCAGGGGCCATGGGTTCAATCCCTGATCGGGGCAATGAGATCCTGCATGCCACATGGTGTGGTCAAAAAAAATTTTTTTAATGAAGAAAAAAAAAAAAGAGGCCATTGGTTGAATAACCTAAAGTCCATTCATGCTTTTGGATTACTCTGCAATAACTAAAGAATAGGGGAGATAAAGATGTGCTCTTATATGAAGACATCCAAGATGTCTTGGATCCATGACATCCATGGATGTCATGACATCCATGACAAAGAAGCAAAGTGCAGAACACTCAAAATCTTCAGAAAATATGCACCAAACTGATTTTGGTGATTCTCTCTAGAGAGAGGCTTCCCAGATGGCTCAATGGTAAAGAATCTGCCTGTCAATGCAGGAGACACAGGAGATGCCAGTCTGATCCCTGTGTGGAGAAGATCCCCTGGAGTAGGAAATCGCAACCCACTTCAGTATTCCGGCCTGGAAAATTCCATGGACAGAGGAGCCGGGCGGGCTACAGTCCCTAGTGTTGCAAAAAGTTGGACACGACTGAGCATGCATGCACACTCCAGAGAGAACTGGTGAAGGAGATCTTTGTAATCTTTGAAAATTAATGATGAGTATGTACTTAAACATAAATTGTATAACTAAACAGTTTTGTTTTAGGAGATGGTGATGGGTCTTATTGTCTAAAACGGTGCTGCTCCTTTCATACTTCTCATAGACAATCTCACTGTTTGAAAGGAAGTGACTAGATCAGATTTGTCCTTTAAAAAGATAACTCTGGCAGCCCGTCAGAGTGTAGATTGGAGTGGGCAGAGGGCTGCAGGCAGGACTGATCTCCTCTGAAGGCTGCTGTTTGTCTCCGTGGCCTCTGGACATTGCCCCAGCATTCCAGATGGGCAGCTAAGTAGAGTATTCTGGTTCAACAGCTATGTTTTTAAGATTTCAGGCAACCCCAGGTGGAAAAACTGGTCCCAGGTATTGAGAAGGGTTAACCTCAGTTGGGTTGGCGGGGGGTGGCTGTTTCTGGGCTGAAACACAGGAAGAACAGCAGATGGATGGCATTAGAGTGAAAAATGTGTAGCAGATTTCAGAGCAGGGACTATAGAGAAAGCCTCTCTGGGGTCAGGAATTTGCCTGGGGCAGAGTCTTCCGAAGGTACTGTTGCACAGTCCACTTTGCAGCTCTGCAGGCAGGGTTCTGCTCAGGAAGCCTGCCCTGGTTCATTGGGACCCTTCCCCAAAGTCCACTGGGGACCTCCTTTTTGGTAAAAGAGGAATTCTAGTGGGGGAACCATTCATTCAGCTGACTTTCAGAGAACACCTGCTATGCCAGACACCATGCTGGATGCCTGGTCCAGTGCAAACAAAGCAGATATGTTTCCTGATTCTGTGGATATGATAGGATAGGATAAAGCGACCCCATGGACTCTTTGCAACCCCATGGACTGAAACCTGCCAGGCTCCTCTGTCTGTGGGATTCTCCAGGCGAGAATACTGGAATGGGTTGTCATTCCCTTCTCCACGGGATCTTTCTGACCCAGGGATCGAACCTGAGTCTCCTGCATTACAGGTGGATTCTTTACCATCTAAGGCACCAGGGAAGCTTCATGGAGTTTCCCACTAAAGTCAAAAGCCTGCATACACAATTACAAATTGTGATATGTGTTTTAAAGGGGAATAAAGGGTGAAACAGATCACCAGCCCAGGTTGGATGCATGAGACAAGTGCTCAGGGCTGGTGCACTGGGAAGACTCAGAGGGATGGGATGGAGAGGGAGGCGGGAGGGGGGATGGGGATGGGGAACACATGTAAATCCGTGGCTGATTCAGGTCAATGTATGGCAAAAACCACTACAATATTGTAAAGTAATTAGCCTCCAACTAATAAAAATAAATGGAAAAAAAAATAAAGGCTGTTGAAAACATATGGCAAAAAAGATAAATAAATAAAGGGGAATACAAAGGATACAGTGCTATGAAAGAAGAATAACAGGGGGAGCATAATTTCAATGGGTCAGAGGGTTAGAGGAAACTTCTCTCAGGAAGTTTAAGCTTCTGGACCCCCAGAGGCCCAAAAGACAAATGAAAGTTAGCTAGGTAAAGAGGGAACCTAGAAGATGGCATTCCGGGCAGAAGAACTGATGTGTGCAAAGTCCCTCTGATGGGATCTTGACCTGGGAAAGAAGGGCAGAGTGGTGAATGAGAGGGCAAGAGGGCCAGGGTGAGGTAAGAGGGGCAGG